AGAGTTCTTAAACATTTGAGAAGAAACAACAGTTCTTATGGTAAAGGAAATAATAGGTTACAATAACACTCACAAGCACCGAAACAGCAGTAGGCCATTTCCAAGGTTTGGAAACACTGATGGTGGAATAGCGGTTTTCAAATGTGAACATATATGTATATGAATTCATGGCTTTGCGCACAATGAGCTGAACAAATGTTCGCTGTAGATTTCATCTGGCCCTCCGCACAAACATTTTTGATAGCTAGGTTTTTGTTGATTTATCAGAAAATAACGGAGTTCATTATTTTACCTTGGAAACAGCAAGCAATGGTTTTAAAAGATATATAACATAGTTGGAGTGGGATGGGATAGAGAAGGTTATTGCTGCAGTTATAATTTGTATTATTAATATTATACTCGTCCTTATTATGCAACAGTATTTTTTAAAGTCCATTTATTTCCTTCGTGAAAATACATAAAATGTAGGCTATCAAAGCCCAAGGAACTACACTGAACAAAAATATAAACGCAACACTTTTGTTTTTGCTCCCATTTTTCATGAGATGAACTCAAAGATCTAAAACATTTTCTACATACACAAAATAACCATTTCTCTCAAATAGTTGTTCACAAATCTGAAAAAATCTGTGATAGTGAGCACTTCTCCTTTGCCGAGATAATCCATCCCACCTCACAGGTGTGGCATAACAAGATGCTGATTAGACAGCATGATTATTGCACAGGTGTGCCTTAGGCTGGTCACAATAAAAGGCCACTCTGAAACGTGCAGTTTTGCTTTATTGGGGGGGTCTGGGGGGGGTCCGAAAACCAGTCAGTATCTGGTGTGAGGGTTAGAATTAGGGTTAGGGTTAGGGTAATGTTGTGAATCGAGTGGCCTGTGTTCATCGTCCATAACATACGCCTGCCCATACCATAACCCCACCACCACCATGGGCCACNGCTAATCTGTCCGTGACTATAACGTGTCCACACGGAATCCGACCGGTGTTATTGTCCCGGAGCTTTGCGTCGACGATAAAACGAAATTACCCCCCAGACCCCTCCCAAATCCATTACAACACTTTATTGATATGCCACACCTGTGATGGATTATCTCGGCAAAGGAGAAGTGCTCACTATCACAGATCTTTTCAGATTTGTGAACAATATTTGAGAGAAATGGTTATTTTGTGTATATAGAACATGTTTTACATATTTGAGTTCATCTCATGAAATGAGAAAATGGGAGCAAAAACAAAAGTGTTGCGTTTATATTTTTGTTCAGTGTATAAGGCTGTCAGATTATAAAGTCAAAGCAAAGCAAGCTAAATTATATAATAGTTTACTTCAAAGTGTATCTATCAAAGTGTAAAAATACTCTGTTACAGGTAAAGGTTCTGCAATCAAATACATTATGTTTATCCAAATAAAGTACCAAGAATGAACATATGCAGAACTCTCCCTTTCATAAAAATACATTATAAAGTTTTTACCTTATTGTCAAGTAGCCTGATAAACTCCCCGATCTATTAAGTGTTTATACATTTCGTATGCTTCACGGTGGTGTATTTATAATGGTAATGTTGAACTGAATTATATTTTAAGAGATGTTTCTAAATGTGTGTCTCCCTATTCATATAAATGAGGAGGTCAGAATTTTAGCACATCTCAATATAATGCAATACATTATGACTTGTTATAGGCTTAAATTCAGTGACCTTCTGGTTAAACAGTGCTATTGGATTGCATCAGACTGTGCAGGTGTTTGCCCAAAGTGCTGGGGGTACTTTCCATTAATAATCTTAATCTGCAAAGCAACTAAACCTGACTACTGTATGTGACAGAAAAGTAAAAGAAATTGCGTCCAGATACAGTGGAATATGCTATACTATATATACACTCAAAGCATGTATTAATTGCAGTTATTTATAAAATATACTATAATCGCAGATAATATGAACAAACAAATCTTTGTAAATTCCCCTCTACTCCCAAATTAATCAAGTGGGGTTTTTCTTTCTGAAGATTGTAAAGAGTCTGCCTGAATGTGATCAGTGCAAAGGTTTTTTGATGAGGTAAGGTTGAAATGTTTGCATAGCACGTCCATATGTCTGCTGCCACACCAAGACACTAAATGCACATTTCAAACGGGAAAACTATCTACATGTATAGCCTATATCACATTGCACCTCGAAAGTACAGTATTGGTCAGAGAATACGATGACATGTGTTCACAATCACACGGCCAACCAATCGTGAAGCAGGACACGTTTACATTTTTGTATTGCACTCTACAGGTTAGGGATAAAGCAGGGTGTATAGAGAGCAGCAAACAAACTGCGTTAAAACGCAACAATATGGCTTTGAACATCAGCAAAACGTGGTGGATAATTTTGTGGAAAGTTGGAGAGAAGACATGAGGTTGGAAGCTGCAAGAATGCTTGATTTCAATACCAAAGCTGAACGTAAACAGTTTCCTGTGTGTTAATAGGACTAAATAAGCGACGATGCACCGGTGTGCAAAGTGTCTTCACCTCAAATCCTCACAGTTTATAGAAGAAGAGAGAATTTCATACAGCATGTCTCTGTGACCTGATTTCTGTGTATTTTTCCCTGTAGGATATTGTGGATAATAAGGTTATACTGTATGTCAGCCTATACCGTTTTTTTGTATTCCTCTCTGCTTAAAGTCTGCCCGGCAGGGCTTCTCGCCTTTTAAATAAAAATACAGTTTTGAATCCGACGGTCATATTTGCTAAGAAAATAATCATGCAGTCTATCAGATGTTAATGTGGCACCTAAAGGTCTTCTGTTTGCATTATATGTTTAAGCATTTTTTATATTTTATTTCAATCCTATTTATAATTATTCTCATATCAATTGGGCTTCTCCAAAGCATTTTCAATATAATACAAATATATCCTTGTTATTTTATCAGTTGTATTATTACGAATTGTAGGGCAACTTTATTAATAGCCTTAAAGGCTTTTACATTGATAACGTTATGGTAAAAATACAAATACAATTGCCTCTTAAGTTTGAAGCTTTATAGAAATAAAAAAAAACGACTACTCTTGGTTAAAATACGGATCGAACCCATTCAGATAAATAAATAAATGTCTCTGCAGTGATACCCGGCTGTCATGTCACTGCAGTCATTCTGCTGACTGACTGCGCTGCAGAGTGTCTGCACACTGAACGTGGTTGACAGATTAAATAACAACAAAGACGTTATGTATAGTCGAGGCTGCAGCCTGCCCTTCAACACATATCACAGCCCCAGCTCAAAGAGCCAGTCCTTATAGGCAGGTTAACCTCACTGACAACCCTTAACTTGTCGAAAGGCTCTGAAGCTGAAATACTTGCTGCAGCTCTGCCCACCGGATCAACTGAGTGTTATAAATTGTCTCTTCAAGGCCTTGATCAGATTTGAGCACACTATATTTAATAATCTAGTAGCCTAAATTATGCATGTGCTGTGCAGTGCCTACTAGGCAGGTCAGAAAACATTTAACTGGTAATTAAAATCCCTTTATAATAGGCCAAGCCATGAGCTCAACAGACACACACACACACTAAAGAAGTTGTGATTTCCGTGCCCCAGACTCCCCTCACAGGAGTCTTTTCTTTGGAGAGGGACCCGCGGTCGCTTCCCTTTACAAAACAGCGGCAGGGCCCCTTTTGTCCGAGCAGGGACCCCAGACCCATCATTAGCACTGATTACCGCTGACCAGTTTGACAACCTTATTGACTGCGAAAAAGACTTTTTCATCGAGTCCCCGGTCCTCCTTATTTTCAATAGAAACGGAAATATTCAGCCATTTTGTCCCTGTGGTTTGAAAAGAGGAGCAGCAAAAAAAAAACATAAAAAAGGAAGAAAAAATCCCCCCCAACCCCATTTATTTCCCTTCACTCGTTTCCTCTCTTTCCATAGATGTAGCTTCTGTGTTGTTCGAGCTGAAAGGCTTTTGTCTGTTGCAGAAGTTACTGTAGTGTAGCCTAATTAATCGCAAATTGGAAGAAACCAGGTGTCTGTCCCATCGGTTGGAAAAGCTCGACTTTAACTTCTGCTCTGCTCACTTTGCTCTTCTCACCAAAGCTGTAGGCAACTTCTAAAGTCTATAGAGTCTAGTAAAAATAATTGTTGTAATGCTGTGCAGATATAGCCTATATTTTTTTACTGATATTGTTTTCAACGTGGAATACAAGATTGTTATTCCAGATATCAGTGAGGGATGTAGCTGACAATTAAACGGTGTATTTTGTTGCTACTCTATTTTTTCTGTGGAAATCAAAGAACAAATTGAGTGGCAACAAAATAAACAGTTTCTGTATTGTACGATTAAAACCATTTTAGGAATATTGTGTCGATGTGTTTAAGGATAAACTTGAAGCTGGATTTATAATCAAATATATTAATAAAGCATGCAGTCAATTACAATGTCAACTTGATTAAGAAATAACCTATTCTTTCCAACAGATAAACAATCACATATGTTTGCGTTGATGCTACATTATTTAAATGTTAGGTCGTTTTGAAAGGGTTGTATTTGCACTATAGCTACACGGCATATTGACTATGCTAAATTAAATCCTGTCTTGGGTAAATGGACACTTGCAAAGATTTAAGAAGCTTGCTTCTATATTGTCTGCTTTTCTCCACGGGCAGGATAAAAACCGTTTCCACAATCTGCTGTGTTTTGATCTCCATGATCTCTCTCGCAGATCATCCGGGTTAGTGAGTCGGCCTCTCGGTGACCTCTCGCTGTCACCCTGCATTACACGACGCAAAGCATGTTGGCCAATTAGACCCTGCTATAAAACGTGTCAGGGATATAGCACTGGCGTTATAAAGTCTCCTTCATGACAACATCAAAAAGGCTTTATATAAGAATATAAAAATGATTCATATTTTATAATAAGGCTCATCTCTTTTTTTCCCCAAACACATCTATAAAAAAAGAATAAACTGTATTCTCGCTTGATCAACAATTATTTTATTAAGTTATCTTAACGGTTTTTTTTCTTTTACTGAAACACATTTTCACTAAAGCGCGCATGCTCAACAGGTTGACCTGTGTACAAGGTAAGTATTAAAAACACCAAGCAAATGAATATGAAATTCAAAGAGACAGAGCAGATCGTTTTTAAATAGGCAAATAAACATTATTTATAAAACTTTGAAAGTAAAGTAAAAATATCACAGTTCTTTTTCAACATGAAATACCCACAGAGAACAGCAGGCTAGGCGATCATCCCTTTTTCTTTTGTACTTTTTTTTCTTCTTTTTTAACTTTTCATCTCAGGGCGTTGGTTTATTAGTCCGTCAAATATGTTTCGTCCGTAATTAAGTTCAGTTATCCACACAAAAAAAAAAATGTAGGCCTAAAGAGAAAAGGACGGACAGTCCGCCGCAGATCTCCTCATGTTTGGCACCCGTCAAAAATCAGTTTGTGTTTGTTTTTTAACTCAACGCAGGCACTATGACTTGTTTTATTAGATTGTCTCTCACTCCTCTCCCCCTTTAATTCTTCATCACCGCGGATCTGCCCGTCAGATGTCACATTCACTGTCGCTGGAGGTGATGGAGATGGCCGAGGCGGCTGCTTTGCTGGACAGACTGGCCTCCGGACTGGAAGAGTTCCCCAGCCGGTCCACGGTGCCGTCATCATCCGCCAGGGAGCGGACCGAGCCGTCGGACAGGACCCGCTGCTGGAGCCTGGACAGGAGAGACGGGACAACATCACATACACGTGTCTATGCAGAGTGTATTCACAATTATTATTTCCTTATGAAAAGAATTAGGGGAACGAATAAATGATTGAAAAAACGACCTATGTGTAGTTATTTCTGAGGATGACATTAAACTAAGAATATTTTTATTTTATAGGCCTATTCTATTTATTTTCTGTGTATTTTTTTTAAGAGTAAAACAAATGGCATATCTTAAAAACAACAGCTTAGTGCTATTGTTCTCCTTTAAAAAAACACACAACATGAAATTATATTATGTAAAACTGGCATTTTTACTTTGTGCATGGTTGAAAACATTCCTTATAAAAACCAATAACAGTGCATGGTAGCTTATATTTTACAGAAATATAGCAAGATCAGTTATTTGCAAAACCTTCTTATGGGTTAAAGCAGGATAATTACATGAGCTATATAATTTCACAAATATGTCACTAATTGATGTAGCTCACAGATTATACCTCTCACTAAACAATAATGGGCGGTTTTAGCTGCATGCAACAAAAATGGAAAACAGCAGTGTGACCTCCCAGGCCTTTAAACAGATTGGCTATAATGTAATTGGAAGTTACACAACATGATCTATTTAACTGCTTTATAGCAAATACTAGCTTACTACTATACTACTACTACTACTACTACATTGCAATTTAAGAATAAAACACGTGAATGTTGTTGTTGTTGTTCTTGTTGTATTGCAATACAAAATTAGGTTTTGCAATTTTTTCTTAGTCTTAAAAGTAGAACCATTTATCCAGAGCTTTGTTCTCTCAGTAATCTAAAATTACACACACAATGTTTGTATTTGTCCCCACTGCTGGCATCATATACACTTCAAATCGGTGGTATGTTACAAAAGAAAATCCCCCTGGTTTTAGGATTAAATGACGATGTTCAATCTATCCGAAACATATCTGTTCTGAATTGCTCAATTAACGAGGGTCACGGCCTGCTTTGCTACATTGAACTGAAAGACGACTCATGCTGCTATTTTCCTAATATCTTTGTTTTTCTGCTGGAAAACCTCAAAATATATTGGTGTAGCTCACCTGTTCTTCGCAGCCGCTGCTCTGTCTCTTTGTCTGCGGTTTTTGAACCAGTTTCCTACTTGTGTGGGTGTAAGTCCTGTAGCCTGTGCAAGCTCCCTCTTTTTACTGGGGTTCGGGTAGGGATCCTGCAAATACCATTCTCTTAACAAGTGCCGGGTCCTCTCCTTGAAGCAGTGGGTTTTCTGCTCTCCATCCCATATGGTTCTGGGAAGGGGGAACTTCTTCCGAACCCGGTATTTGTCCACCGGCCCCAGCGGGCGTCCCCGCAGCTTCTCCGCCTCCTGGTAGTGCGCCTCCAGCCACAGCGCCTGCAGCTTCGTGTGCGACTCTTTGGTGAACTTGTGGTTCTCCAGGATGTGGTACAGTTCACGGTAATTGCCCGTGTGAAAGGCGACGACGGCCCGGGCCCTCAGCACCGACTCGTTCTTGTTGAGGACCTCGCAGGCCGCCGGCGCCACGGGCAGAGACCAGAGGAAGCGGCCGAGGCGCTCCACGTCCCCGCTCTCCTCCAGAGTCTCGCAGACCCCGGCGACCTGCTGGGGGCTGAAATTCAAGATGGGCAGCTGAAACATGGAGGCTTCTTCTCCGGTGCTTCCCTCTCCCCCTCCTTTCTCTCCCCGTCTCCTCCGCGTCGAGTCCTCCTGCTTCTGCCTTCCGTGCGCCGATGCGGTCTGAAAAAACGAGGCAATCCCAAAGTTACCAAACCAACCGTGTGAGCAGCCGTGAAACACGCAGACACCAGGGGTGGAGGACCGACGCTGCGTGGGGGCCAGCTACCGCATCCTCCGCTCGGCAAACTTGGCAGGCAAAGGGCTGAAGGTGCGAGCGAATTAGAGCCGGAGCCGCGGTGTATTTTTCAAGGTAGTCTGGGATTGAAAGTACGAAAGAATTAAAGCCGGAGCGGAGATGTATTTTTTAAGAGGGGAGAAAAAGACAGTCAAGCCCCCTCCGATGATTTCCTATTGGACTTGGCAGATTGGCTGTCCGGTTGCCATGGATGCACGTCAATCACTGTCAAGTTCGGCCAATCAGGCGGAAAGGAGATCTCAGCACCTCCCTTTTCAAAAATAATATAAACATTTTGACCTTTTTGCTTCGCGTCTTCAAACGTTTAGCTGCCCCGCCGTGCTTTCCAAACACCCTCTGCCTTTGTGTTAAAGAAAGACTCTTCAGTCTATATAGTCAAGTGGCAAAGCAGGCAAACACGCTCAGCTCAGTCTCCCTTCAGAGCTCTTGAAACAGGCTTTACAGCAAAAAGACATCCCGGCTGACTATAGGCTGCCCTAAACTCACAGGCTATTAAATGTAAGACAATAACAAACAGATGATAATTATACAGTGTTAAGTATGGCCTTTTACATTTCTGGTTTTATTTGAACTCTCCTATTAGGCCTATCTAATGATAGCCTATATCGTAAACTCACGCTAGCTGGATTAGGTAGGCCTAGCTAGAATTATTGTATTTTTTTAAGATTATTGGTAATGTTTAATAATCGTTTACACCCTCAAGGCTTTTATCGATGTTGAATTGTTAATATACAAAAAGAGGTCGATATGGTTTTTATTTCAACAGGACTCTGAATTTGTAGTAAACTCAGATTTGCAACCTTGACCAGAGTTAGTTGAGGCTTCCTGCATTATTGAACCTCACAAAAGTGCACATTTATAAAGCATAATAAATCATATTACGGTTATGATGATGCATGCTCTTTTAATTGGGGCGTGAATAAATGCTCTTTTTGAAAACACAGGCTAATTTAAGTTTTTTGTTGTACTGGCATATATGTGTGTGATGGTGATCGCAGCAGACTGCAGCTCATTCACTTTCAATCTGCCTTTATTTACTGTAGCTCGTTCCAGGGCCGACAGCATGCACAGGGAGGCTGCTTCTGTGAAGTGAAACATAGCAGGGAATAAACGTGATACTTGTTTATATAGGATTATCAAGGCCCTGCCAGGCTACTCTGCTTTAGTATCAGACACACTCCGTTTTGTGCACAGGCTGATTTGGTAAATAAGAGGGCGGATAGATAGCGCAGATGGTTTGAAGTGTCGGGTCAGATTATTTCATGGCTGGATACAGTAGTAAAGTTCATTCTGACGGAAAAGCCTGATATTATTTTTCACAGATCGCCCCCTCCCGCACACACATAGGATACAGACTCACTCTCGCTCTCTCTCTTCCCTCGCTGTCTCTCTCTTCCATGCACGCTCACGCACTCACGCACGCACTCGAGCCGAATCCCCTTCGGGCTTTTTTTGCATGAATTATAGACTCTTGATGCGGGGTTATGAAATGCCTTCTGCACAGGAAGCTGTTCATTCTCTAGCTGGTTTACAGCATCATTATGACAATAACCAAAAATGCAATATTTATATTTAAGAATTTAATAATAATTTTCATGTTGATGTCTCTCAGAAATAGGTCTGATTTGACACATAGTCTGCATCATAATTAGGAAATTACCATTTTATATTGGATCAAAAAGACCCTATAAACAGATTAAGAAGCATGGTCATTCATTCACCCATATTATTACACCAACCAGTAAATATTGGTAAATAAAGGATAGGCCTCCATCAGATGCAGCAGTGGAAGTAAACTCCGAAGGCGACTGACAAGGTGCTGCTCTGAAATATTTAGCCGCCTGTAAATATTTCATCCATGCAGGCAGCACGTCCTAAGCCAAATTTACAAGGACTGCAATACTTTCTCTAGGAAGTGCACATCAATAAAATATGGGCGAGTTTTGGATCTCTTAAACGGAAGGCTGGAAATAACAATTGTAGACTACGCTCTGTAAGCAACACGTCTAGCTCATAGGCACTGTTAAAACATTAATGGAAAGGGTGAAAAAGAAGGACACGATTTTTTTTTTTCAGTGTGAAAAATCTCGTTTTGCCATTACTGCGCTAATAAACAGTTAACATCAAGCAAAACACCACAAATATTCCCTTTTGATTCACTTAAAGTTGGTTTTTAATTGCTCACGTGTCAGCCTAATTTTTATTCATTACATGTTTCCCCATATGATTTAACCTTCCAGTACATTTTTAATATTTTTGCCATCTTTAATCAGACTGAAGTGGCAGACTATAGGCTACTTCCTCTAACATCCAGGCTTATGTCACTGTGTGAGCAGATAGTAGGCCTCCTGACACCAATATCTCCCCACATTCAGCCCCACACACACTGGATCTCATTCAAATACATCTACTATTTTTTTCTCCTTTGTCTATTTGGCATTATGGCATCCCCGCAGCCAGTCCTCTGTTCATTTTTTATTTCTGCTGTCTGTTTTGATATTCTTTTTTTTTTTAAAGATTCTCTACTTTACATACAGTTTAAACCAAATCCAAAATCCGTGGAGGATTGTTGTGGAGATTCAAAACTAGAGGGGGTGGACAAAATAGTATGAACACAAGGAAATAAAAGACACTGACTAGAAAGGTATTTTACAATTATCTAGTTCGAAAGAGCTGCAAAACATGTCAGTAATTGTTCCTGTAAATGCATATGTCTAAAGTGGCTTTACTGGTATTTAGTAAACCCTCGGGCCTCTGTAGATGTGAGATACAAGATGGTTTCATCCTTTAAAATCTAAATATTAACTACAAGGTTTTTTTTAAATGGCCAGAGGATTTGAAATATTCAATTGCATATGCACTGGCTACATCCATTGTAGAGATCATGGTATTTTCGGCAATATAACAATATATTATTGATATACAGGGACAAGATATAATCTTAGAATTGTTTCACAATAATGCATGAGTGTTGTATAATTGTTGTCTTTTCCTGGGTTAAAGGCAGACTAATCTTCCGGACTAAGACTGTACAGCTGTTCTAATAATTATGATCATCTATGACTATGAGAAATCCCATTGTTTGAATGTTTTTGCAAAAGTCAACACTACCAGAACATTGCAGTATTGATAGAGTTATTTGATGTTATCATAATGCCCAGCCCTACCGGATAAGACTGAAAGCCCAGAACATAATTAAAATGGTGCTATAGCAAGTTAGTGTTTACTCAACAGCTGAACAGTATCAAACTTAAAGTTCAAAACATTAATGAGCTTTCAAGTTAAAGTTAAATAATATAAATTCCATGTTTATCCAAGGTAAATCAACTTAATGACAGTAGCTATAATACTATCAGGAATATTGAAGGCTGCTGTGGCTGTTATGCCAACTGATACAGATCATTAACTGCATCCAACAGCGGAAGATAATTGCCAAAGAGAAAATGCTTGATACACGTTTCTTTCTAAAGCTCAGTGACGAGGACAACTACAAGGTGAAGAGAGCATTGATACAGCAGCAGAGAGGTGTGGTGCACCCTTCTGCAGAACACCGCTCAGTTGCTTCACTATTTATGATAGGAGACGAGTGCGTTTACTTTGTGTCATCATTAGCATGTAGCGGGGCTGTGGCTGGCCCTGGGGAGAGGGAGGGAAGGAGTGGGGAATAGTTACATGTGAACAGGCTGGAAATGACCCAGATTCCCTAGGATCACTGGAGCAGACGAGACGCTACAAGAGCCCGTCACCAACAGCCATGCTGCCACTATCACATACAGACCTACAGCCCCATCACTGCTGCTATTCAGAAACATGCAGGCACAGCGAAGAGGGCTCACTGAACATCACTGCTAATCTGTAACAAAAAATATCATCTCCACATGCTCTGATACTGTAAACATCCTCTGGCCTATGTGTGTGGCACAGAGCCTGTTTAAAGTACTTAAACAGCATCAAGAGAAGGCGGCAGTGATGTAAAACAGTGGCACACAATGCCAATGTATGCCGTTTGCCCGGGGCAGTAAGGCACTTCTGCTTAGCAAAAGATGGAGGGTGCATTGCTTTGTACATTCGCTATAGCTGCTCGACTTCAGTGTTTGTTGATTTGTGCATGACAGTGTGTTTTAACTAGTCGTATATCCCGGTAGGATTAACTTCGACCCGGATGTATTTAAAGGGCATGGTTTACGCAGAGGGACTTAAAGAGAAGACTCGTACGTTGCCTCGTGGCTAAACGGTGACAGGAGGGTTGCGGCAAAGCTCTCTCGGAGTTGTGTTTTCAGACCCATTTACCCTGGGGGCAGCAGTGGCTCTCGACACTGTGTTTAATCTGTGGATTTGTGGTAACAGAGAAGACTTCTTATCCACTGACCCATTGGCCCCTAGTGTACGTAATCCAGTGCCTTTCACACAGCCCTGCTGACACGGATCGAGGAGAGCCAATACACTGCCGCATTCAGTGTGGGGGGGTGCACGTGTGCGCCCCGCGCGCGCGCGCACACACACACACACACACACACACACACACACACACACACACACACACACACACACACACACACACACACACACACACACACACACACACACACACCCAGCCAGCCAGCCAGCCAGCCAGCCAGCCCTGACACACATTCTCCTCCCCCAAGCTTTTGTTTCACAGGGCATACACTACACAGCACAGGCTACTGTTATTATAATCAGTGAACATGATATTTGACCTTTTCCACTAAGCCAATTCACAATAGTATGGTAAATATGTAATACCGTAATAATGCTCACTTAAAAACTGAAATTGACAGCAGCGCTCTATTTGTACTGAAGAGCCCATTCTCAAAGCTGCTATGAATAAAGTAATTTTACCTATTTTTAGAACATACACAGTAAGGCCATACAAAAGCGGGGGGGCCATTACACTTATATAAAAGACATTTTCTGTGGTGAAGATCTCTGCAGTTCCC